CTCTCTTTCTTCTTTCTTTCTTTCTTTCTTTTTCTTTTTTTCTTTGAGAGTCCATCACCAGGCGCCAGGCTGGAGTGCAGTGGCGCAACCTCGGCTCACTGCAACCTCTGCCTCCCGGTTCAAGCAATTTTCCTGCCTCAGCCTCCTGAGTAGCTGGAACCACAGGCGTGCGCCACCACATCCAGCTAATTTTTATTGTATCTTTAGTAGAGACAGGGTTTCACCATATTGGCAAGGATGGTCTCGATCTCTTGACCTCGTGATCTGCCCACCTCGGCCTCTCAAGGTGTCTCATTTTCTTTATTAAAATTTCTCTTGATTCTTCAAGAGACAAACTATCGTCTCTCCTCTGACTTTAACCATTATTCCACTTCCGCTATTACTTGCCTCTTCATAAAATGTGAGCAGTGCTCCCTTAACAATGCTGTCTTTAATCTTGGAGAAGGCACACTGGGACCTGGATCTACCAACGCACCACCTGGTCACCTCTGGCAGAAAGGACACTTCTCTGGTGCTCCTCCAAGGGCAGCCCAATTAATGCCCACAAGAAGTGACAAGTAGCATTTGCTGTCTCCTATTCTGTTATAAAAGGATAAGAGCAGACAAGGATGTATTCTATCATCTGGTTGTCCATGAAATCAATGTCAGCACATAGCCACTGCCTGTTACACACAATGAGCAAGGAAGCTGTTGAAGAAGCTTCTGTTCCAAGCAGCCAACTTCTAACAGCCCACACTCCAGAAAGTTGGGGGTGAGGAAGTCAGGCAGACATAACTAGAGGCTACATCCTGAAAGTCTGTCATCATCATAATATTCATGGTTAATTTGCCCTTTTGGTAGCCACCAAGCTAACTACAGGATGCATACACATTTAAATGCTTGGTCTGAAAATTAATTAGATTTCAAGTCTCTTTATAGAAAAAAAAAATTCTGGCCGGGCGCGGTGGCTCACGCCTGTAATCCCAGCACTTTGGGAGGCCGAGGCGGGTGGATCACAAGGTCAAGAGATCGAGACCATCCTGGGCAACATGGTGAAACCCCGTCTCTACTAAAAATACAAAAAATTAGCTGGGCATGGTGATGCGTGCCTGTAATCCCAGCTACTCGGGAGGCTGAGGCAGGAGAATTGCCTGAACCCAGGAGGCGGAGGTTGCGGTGAGCCGAGGTCGCGCCATTGCACTCCAGCCTGGGTAACAAGAGCGAAACTCTGTCTCAAAAAAAAAAAAAAAGAAAAAGAAAAAAAAAATTCTAACATTACATTTGTCAATGTAAAGGAAGAAAAAGCTGTTTTAGTTTTTGAAACTGATTTCAACTCTTCTAAAATTGAATTGTCCTATGAAACTCGTTTTAATTTTTTTATTACATACTTGTGTGAATAACATTTCTTATCAATAATGACTATTGAGAATTTAAAGGTATTATCATTTAAAAGTCTTGATCAGGAATTGCCTGTGGGCATCCTAGGGAGGAAATAATACTGATATTAAAAAAGGTATGCAGCCAGGCACAGTGGCTCACACCAGTCATCCCAGCACTTCGGGAGGCCAAAGTGGGTGGATCACCTGAGGTCAGGAGTTCGAGACTAACCTTGCCAATATACTGAAACCCCGTCTCTACTAAAAATACAAAAATTAGCCTGCCCAGGAGGTGGAGTTGCAGCAGACCGAGATCACATCACTGTACCCCAGCCTGGGCGAAAAAGCAAGACTCTGTCTCAACAACAACAAAAAGTATGCTTATGAAAACAAACTCAGAATTTTTTCACTAAAACATTTTAGAAAATTTTATTTAGGATAGTATACAAATTCAATAGTTAATATTAATACAGGAGTTATTAAGAAATTAGGCCGGGCGCGGTGGCTCAAGCCTGTAATCCCAGCACTTTGGGAGGCCGAGGCGGGTGAATCACAAGGTCAAGAGATCGAGACCATCCTGGTCAACATGGTGAAACCCTGTCTCTACTGAAAATACAAAAAAAAAAAAAAAAAAGAAATTATTTGTAGGCAGCTAGAAAAGGTGAAAGTTCTCTGTGGAATTTTCCTTTAATAAAAAGCAACCCCAAACCATTTCTTCTCTAACAGAAGGCACACTGAGAACTCAAGCATACATATGCAAACTAGAAGCTTTGACATGTAAATGTAAGCATCTGTACCTGGAAGCCAGGTATGTTCAGTGTGGCATCTCCTGCCCTCTTTTTCCTCCTCGCCACTTGCGCCAGCTGTCCCGGCAGCCTCCAGATGAAACCACGTGTACAGGCATCAAGGCTACTGGCCAGGTGGAGGCCACATTTGCGTAATAAAAGACGAGGGTGGGAGGGCCAGGCTTTTCCGGGGAAGCGTAAATGGCACACCTGGTAAAACCAGTCGCCTGAGCCCGTGTAAATCAATCACCTCCTCCTCAAGCCTCTTTACAAAACCAGCAGCATTCACTGCAGACCGGATACCCTCATTTGGGTGACCGGCTTTCTCAACATGAGGAAGCGTTTTCTCTCTTTTCTTTTTCTATTAAGCTTTCTGCTCCTGAACCCCACTCATATGCGTCAGTGTCCTGAATTCTTTCTCGACCAAGACCAAGAGCCAGGGTATATACCCCAGACAATGGAGACGTTTCAATACCTTACCTAGTATTTGCTATATTATATATTCCTAAAAAATAATTTAAAAAAAATTTTCCACCACATGCCATGTTGACGCCTCCAGATGCCACAAAAACTATCATTTCTATGTCCTTTTCCTGCCATGGCATGAAAAAAGTTAGGAAAGCATCAGTTTAAATCTAATGGGCAACTATTTCAATTATGTCTGTTTCCTATCGCCACCCCCACTCTCTCAAGCAGTCTTGTCTTTGTCTGCCACTCCAATTCCCAATCCTGTTTCCCCTGGCATTGTTACAAATTTCCACTCCCAGGATGCCCTGCCTTGCTTGGGAATGTAATCAAACTGCAATAAATTGATGCACAGTCCTTCCATTTCTTATTACCTAAAATCAGTTGGGGATGCATCCTCCCTTTGTAAGAAGAGTAGAAAACATCTATTATGGACTGAATTGTGTCCCTGCAAATTCATATATTGAAGTCTTAAACTTCAGCATGACTCTATTTGTCAATATACTGCCTTTAGGGAGGTAATTAAGGTTAAGTGAGGTCATAAGGGTGGAACCCTAGTCTGATAGGAACGGTGTCCTTATAAGAAGAAGAGACACCAGAGATATCTCTTTTATCTCTTTCTCCCTTTCTCTTTCTGTCTCCACATGCACAAAACAAATGTCCTGTGAGGACACAAGGAGAAGGTGACAGTCTGCAAGCCAGAAAAGATGCCTCCCTGCAGGAAGCAAGTTTGCCGACACCTTGATCTTGGCTTTCTAGCCTCTGTAACTGTGAGCGGCGAATATTATGTTGTTTAAGCCTGTGGTATTCTGTTACGGCAGGCCTAGGTGACTAATACACCATCCTGAGGGAACTCCACACTTAGTCACCTGCTACATACTTTGCTGCATTTGATTACATCCTATATTCTTTGCTTGCATCTTAGAAAAAAAAAAGCCTCTTAAATATATATATATATGCATATATATATATATATATATATACACACAAACACATATACATATGTGTGTGTGTGTTTTTTGTTTTTTTTTGAGATGGGATCTTGCTAAGTCGGGGCTGTGCTGGCCTTGAACTCCTGGCCTTAAGTCATTCTCTCACATTGGCCTCCCAAAGTGCTGGGGATTACAGGTATGAGCTACCCCAGCCCAACAAAAGTCTCTTTTCTCCAAAATAAATTCATTTATCTGTAGCCTTCCTTCCACCTCTTCCCATTTAAACTCCTCTCTGTTTCTCTCTTTTCCACTCTTTCTTTCTGGCATCAAGTTACTTTAGGACACTGCATTATTAGTGAAAAGGCAAGAAATCCAAGTGAAGAGAGATGAATAGTCTTGAGAAATTTTTTATTCCCACAATATGAATCTGATGAATTCTCCTTGCCCTTCGACAAAGTCAGTTGTGTAGTAATGAAAGCAGGCTTTCCCTCCAGGTTCATTGTCACCCTCCTTTTGAGCCTACTGCACCAACAATACTTGATTGCTGGACTTTGGACTTTTCTAGGATCTGTGCTTACTGTCACCTTCTGTTAATGAATTTTCATCTAGAGATAAGTAATATAATTATGAACTGGTAAATTTTCCATTTACTCTAGTATATGAAGTTGCAATTTAATTATGTTACAGCTGTTTACTATTTAATATGATTATTTATGCCTAAAGACACTTATCTACACTCATTGTCTCTATTTCCTGATTTTCCACTCATTCCTCAACTCACTCCACAGACATTGCTCTTGTTATAATCAGCATGTTGCAAGGTTTGGTGATTATTTTCTATCCTTTGCTTATTGAACTTTTCAGCAGCAATAGTGTAACAGGGTTTTTATCAGATGCCGGTGATCGTTGTGGGTTCTTGACCTCCAATCTCTTAAGGAATAAGAGGTGGGGCCACTGCAGGTGGACCGTATGCTCATAAAGTGAATATTGGACCCAAAAAAGTGTTGCAGAAAGGTGATTTTATTTAGGTAGAGAAAAGAGAAGGAAAGGAGAAGAGGAGAAAGGCTTCCTGGAAGAGTACGGATGGGGATTCCAGAGGGAAAATCCTGGAGGGACCTCCCACCGTCTGGGAGGGGATTCCAGAAAGCTGGAAAATCCGGCACAGGTGTGTGGGCATGGACATTTATCCTGGGAGAAACCCCCACCTTCTCCAAGACCCTGGGCCAATGAAAGGAGTTCCTTAGAACTTCTGCTGGAGTGATTGACTTCTAGTTTCTTCCCACACCCGCAAAATTCAAACATAAACCATTGAATCTCCTGGATGGAGAGAGATGGGACGGGGCATGGCGCCAGGGAAATTCTTGCCCTTAAAGCTAGGCCCCCTCATGGACCCAGAAAGAGAACACATTCCCTCAATAGCACAATTACCCACCACCACCTTACCTTCTTTTTTTTTTTTTTTTCTTCTCCTTTTATTTCATTCATTCCAAAATGTCAACCACTTTATCTTCTTAAAGCAGTCTCCACCTTGGTGTTCATTACACCACGCTATGTCTCTAGCAGCACCTTCTTGGTCTTCTTTTCTGTTCTCCCTTCTCAATAAAAATGTCTAAATGTTGGAGCACTTCCAGATCTGTGCAGGACCTTCTTCTGTTCTGTATCTACACTGTCTCCCTAGATGACCTTAACCATCCCCCTCCTTAAATGGCATCAATATGTGGATGTCTCATAATGTTTATCTCCATCCCAGCATCCCCTCCAGGGTACCAGACCCACATACCAACTGCTTACTTAGACATCTAACAAGTATATCCAACTACCTCCAAGCACAATTCTTCATTTTCCCACTAATCTTATTCCTTCCAAGTTTTCAATAGGTCAATAATATAGTACTGACCTGAATATATTATGTAATATATATAATACATAATATATAGTATATAATATATAGAATATAGAATATATTCAGTTCAGTGCTATATATATTATAGTATATATAGTATACATATAGTGTATATATATAGTATAATACTATATATATTACAGTACCAAACTGAATATATTCATTCAGTTGCTCAAGCCAGAAACTAAAGAGTGATTGAAAACACCTTTGCAAAATTAGAACTGTAAGATAAATCAGACAGTTGACTCCATTTTGTTTCTGACTTCCAAGCAGTGCTGGGTCATTCCTGGGTGTAGACCAAACTAACTTTGGGAAGAATTTGGTTTGGAGTTTAACTTGAAAACAAGGTTAATAGTAGTCCATCCCTAAAACTAACTTCCTCCTTGTGAAGGGACCAAAAACTGTTTTCACAGGAGTAATGAAAGGCCACAAGAATAAAATTATGGGAGGTGCCTGAATTATGCTAAGATGTAGATATCATTTCTATAATCCCTTACTGCTCAGGAGTTATGTGGCCAGAAGTCGAAAGATTTGTGACTTCCCCAATTGTTCCCGTAGATAACATCACAGTTGTAGAACCTAAGACTGGTTTTTCGAGCTATCTTTCACACTGACCCCACCTGGATTCATGACTCATGACTCAACTGATTCTGTGTCACAACCCAGAGGTGTACTCAGCATAGGAAGACAGTTTTCCACACCCCTATGAGTTCATGTCCAGCCAATCAGCAGTAGCCATTCTCTAGCCCCCCCCTTCCCACCAAATTGTCCAAAAACACCCCTAACTTCTGCGCCTTTGGAAAGACTAATTTGAGTGATAAATATAGTTCCCCCACATGGCTGTGGCAGCCTCGTGTCAATTAAACTCTTTCTCTACGACAATGGTCTCAGAGAATTGATTTTGTGAAGCATGCCGAAAGAACCAATCAGGCAGTTACATCATCATTGATCTTTCTCTTTCTTCCTTCCACTCATCATCAAGTCCTATTGCTGCTAGTTCCACATTATATCTAAAATCCACCCTTTTCTCTCCTCCTCCATCGTCATCACCCTAGTCCAAGTGTCATTGTCTAGTCAAGATTGTTAAAAGTGCTCCTAACGCCGGTCACAGTGGCTCACACCTGTAATCGCAGCACTTCGGGAGGCCAAGACAGGCAGATGGTGATGTCAGGAGATCAAGATCATCCTGGCCAGCATGGTGAAATCCCATCTCTACTAAAATACCAAAAATCAGCCAGGCATGGCATACACTTGTAGTCTCAGCTACTTGGGAGGCTGAGGCAGGGAAATCACTTGAACCCAGGAGGCAGAGGTTGCAGTGAGCCAAGATTGTACAACTGCACTCCAGCCTGGCTACAGAGCAAGATGTTGTCAAGAAAGAAAGAAAGAAAGAAAGAAAGAGAGAAAGAAAAGAAAGAAAAGAAAGAAAGAAAGAAAGAAAGAAAGAAAGAAAGAAAGAAAGAAAGAAGGAAAGAAAGAAAGAAAGAAAGGAAGGAAGGAAGGAAGGAAGGAAGGAAGGAAGGAAGGAAGAAAGAAAGAGAGAAAGAAAGAAAGAGAAAGAAGAAAGAAAGAAAGAAAGAAAGAAAGAAAGAAAGGAAGAAAGGAAGAAAGAAAGAAAGAGAAAGAAAGAAGGAAGGAAGGAAGGAAGGAAGGGAAGAAAAGAAAGAAAGAAAGAAGAAAAAAGAAAGAAAAAAAAAGAAAGAAGAAAGAAAGAAAGAAAGAAAGGAAAGAAAGAGCTCCTAACTAGTTTTCTTGCTTTCACTCTTGACCTCTCCTATCCATTTTCCAAACAGCAAGCATGTTGTTCTCTGAGAAATAGAGGAGCAGATAATATCACTTCCTGAATAGAAATCTTTTCATTGTCAGCATAAAATTCAAACTCTTAAACGTGATTTGGCTCCTACTTCCTTTCCCATTTCTTTTTGTTGCAATTTTTCTTGTGTCTTCATTGTAGTCACATGGGCCTCATTTCGTTCCTCTTCTTTTTTTTTTTTAATATATTTTTAGTAGAGACAGGGTTGGTTTTTGCCATGTTGGCCAGGCTGATCTCAAACTCCTGGCCTCAAGTGATTCACCTGCCTCAGCCTCCTAAAATGCTAAGATTACAGGTGTGAGCCACCATACCCAGTCCATTTGGTTCCTCATCTAAGCTGCAATGTCTTCGCATTTGCTGACACATGTGGCTATAAAACTATTCCACCAGCTTTTTCTTTCACCAGCTAATTTCTGCCCTTTAGGGGTTTCAGCTTCTATGACTCCCCTTACAAAAAATGACCCTTATGACCCAATTCAAAAGTCTTCCTACCTCTTCTTTGCCCTCTATGTTATACTTCATCTTATTATCTTACACATTCCCTTCATAGTACTTATCACAACTTATAACTATTTGTTTATCTGACTCCCGGATAACAGGGACATTATGTCTTATCATTGTACATCCCTAGTCTCTAACACAGTGCTTGCCATTAAATAAATATTCATTGACTAAATGAATAGATAAATAAATAAATGAATGCCATTGTAAGCCCAAACCCTAGTAACTGGCAGACTTGGAAATTGTTTTTGTTTTTGTTTTTGTTTTTTAAAGACGGAGTTTCGCCATGTTGGTCAGGCTGGTCTTGAACTCCTGACCTCATGTGATCCGCCCACCTTGGCCTCCAAAGTGCTTGGATTACAGGCGTGAGCCACCACGCCCAGCCTGGAAATTCTTAAAGCTTATTCTCATATTCACTAAATTCAGACAGTAGTTTCTACTTGTGGCTAATTTGTATTCATTGCCTATACTTCAAAATTTCATTCTCAGAGAGTCATAGATCTTATGCATTACCTCCACTACCACATGCATATCTACATACATACATATACTCACTAAAACCAAGAAGGCATTTGTTGTTAAATTTATAGTTCAAAGGCATATCCTGTTATCTTTTGGATCTGATTTATTTTCTGGGTTTCTTTCCAAACATCTACTTTTATCATTTTTATATTGATTTTATTTATTCAACTTTTTATTTGTTTTAGTACCTTAAGCCACGACAATATCTTTTATAAATGAAAAGTCAGACCAGCTGCTTATCAAACCAATTTGTCTTCTTAGGCATAGAGCTAGTGTGTCAGTCTTTTGTGGTGTTTATTAAATATTTATGACTCTTGACTTACAGACCAGATGCCATTATTTAGCAGATACCTTAAGAGTCAAGTTTTCAGCAGGGCATGGTGGCTCACACCTGTAATCCAGCACTTTGGGAGGCCGAGGCGGGTGGATCACGAGGTCAAGAGATCGAGACCATCCTGGCCTACATGGTGAAACCCCGTCTCTACTAAAAATGCAAAAGAATTAGCTGGGCGTGGTGGCACGTGCCTGTAGTCCCAGCTACTCAGGAGGCCAAGGCCGGAGAATTGCTTGAACCCGGGGGGCGGAGGTTGCAGTGAGCCAAGATTGTGTCACTGTATTCCAGCCTGGCTCCTGGTGACAGAGTGAGACTTTGTCTCAAAAAAAGACTCAAGTTTTCTTCCCACTGCTGCAGTGATGGTGTGGGGGTAATCAACCATTCTAATTTTCCCAGGACAGAGAGAGTTCCTGGGACACAGGACTTTTTATTTTAAAACGAAAGCAGTCCCTAGTAAAACTGCCCTGGTTTAATTGGAACTTCTGGGGGTTTCTATGATACAGGGTTTTCAGGAGTCAACCTGAGAAAGAGCCAAGCAAATGAATTATTTATTTACTCTGTGATTCTGGAATAAAGTATTCACATTAAACTCCCAATAGCCTTGATTCCAAAGTGAATATGAAGAGAAACTCTCACCCAACCCACACTAAGCATGTAGCATCAAAGAAAAATAAATTTTGGTTGAGTAAGCCACTGAGATTTGGTAGTTTTTGATTTTATATCATAATCTGGCCTACCTTAAGAAATGTATACAAAGGTACTAACTGGACAGATGCTACCATAACAACAAAACCTAGTAAATGTGGCATTAGGTCCAGGCAGCAGGTGATGAGGAAAGTCTTCTCAGAGACTGAAAACATGGTTTTTCAATACTATCCCATGGCAAAACTTCGATGATGTTGTCACCTGAAATAAATGAAAGGTGATATAGCTAGTGAACTTGTGGCTTTAAGGGAAAAGGTAGAAAAGAGAAGTTTAGCAGTGTTTTGGCTGCAGTTGACTACATTCAATGAGGTATTACAAGAAAATGAGACGCTCATGAAAGTAATTGGCTGGTAATAAGCAGGAATATACAATTTAGAGAGAGTGCACAAATTCAGTGATTTGTAGGGAGAGAAGTAACTCTCTTCAAACACAAGTTGTGAAAGATACAACAGAGAAGATTTTTGGGTAAGAAAGAATGATTAACATTCAGCCTTTTGGAAGAGAGATCAAATCTAATGGCTGTAAATCATTTTTCCTGACTCAGGGAAAATAAATTAAAGATGTGCTTTTCCCCCTGAAGTCTGAAAAATCCGAGGTACTCCAATTAAGTTAAAACACAAAGAGACGGGGGCCGGGCGTGGTGGCTCAAGCCTGTAATCCCAGCACTTTGGGAGGCCGAGGAGGGTGGATCACGAGGTCAAGAGATCAAGACCATCCTGGTCAACATGGTGAAACCCCGTCTCTACTAAAACTACAAAAAATGAGCTGGGCATGGTGGCGCGTGCCTGTAGTCCCAGCTACTCAGGAGGCTGAGGCAGGAGAATTGCCTGAACCCAGGAGGCGGAGGTTGCGGTGAGCCGAAATCGCGCCATTGCGCTCCAGCCTGGGTAACAAGAGTGAAACTCCGTCTCAAAAACACAAAAAAAAAAAAAAAAACCAAAAAAAAAAACACAAAGAGAGAATGATGAGAGTGATAGAGACAGCAACAGAAAGAGAGATGGAGAAAAAGCAGAGGGGGATGAGAAAGAAAAGATGCATAATACATCTAAGTATGCTGCAAAAGAACTGGGGGTGTGTCAGTGGCACGTAGAAAGAACTGGAGTCTGATTAAAATTCTACTAAGCTTACAGGAGCATTTTTCTATCAAATAAATTATGAACCTAGACTAGAATTATCTGTGATTATTTGAAACTTAGAATGACCCTTGACTTCCAAACTTCTTTGGACAGCAAGCAAGATTAAAAAAAAAAACGAAAAACAAACTATTTGGACTCCAAGGAGAACAAATTCTCCAAAGTCAATTTTAGATGAAATCAAGAAGAATAATGGTAAAGGAGAATTTTTTTATTTTTTGAGACAGGGTCTCACTCTGTCACCCAGGCTGGAGTGCTGTGGCACAAACGCAGCTCACTACAGCCTTGACTGCCTAGGCTCAAGATATCCTCCTGTCTCAGCTTTCCAAGTATTTGGGACTACAGGCATGTGCCACCATGCCTGGCTAATCTTTAAATTTTTCTGTAGAGACAGGGTCTCACTTCATTGTCCAGGCTGGTATCGAACACCTGGGCTCAGGCTATCCTCCCACCTTGGCTCCAAAACTGCTGGGATTTGCCTGAACAGAAAAATCTTTAAAAAGGGAGATCTCTAATGATCAGTGATGTTGAGCTTTTTTTCCTATGATTGTTGGCCACATGTATGTCTTCTTTTGAAAAGTGTTCATGTTCTTTGTCCACTTTTTTATGGTTTTTTTTTCTTGTAAATTTGTTTAAGTTCCTTACAGATGCTCTATATTAGACCTTCGTTGCTGGCGAGGTTGCGGAGAAAAGCAGTTATACGCTGTTGGTGGGAGTGTACATTACTTCAGCCATTATAGAAGACAGTGTGGTGATTCCTCAAAGACCTAAGGACAGAAATATCATTCAACCCAGCAATCCACTGGGTGTATACCATAAGAAGTATAAATCATTTTATTATAAAGACACATAAATGGGCTAGATGTGGTGACTCACCTGTAATCCCAGCATTTTGGGAGGCCAAGGCAGGTGGATCACTTGAGGCCAGGAGTTCAAGACCAACCTGGCCAACATGATGAAAACCCATCTACTAAAAATGCAAAAATTAGTCCAGCATAGTGACACACACCTGTAATCCCAGCAACTTGGGAGGCTGAGGCACAAGAATCTCTTCAACCCGGGAGACAGATGTTGCAGTGAGCCGAGATTGTGCCACTGGACTCCAGCCTGGGCAACAGAGCAAAACTCTGCCTCAAAAAAAAAAAAAAAAAAAAAAAAGACACTTGTATGTGTATGTTCATTGCAGCACTATTCACAATAGTAAAGACATGGAATTAACCTAAATATCCATCAATGACAACTGGATAAAGAAAAAGTGGTAGGCAGGACACAGTGGCTTATGCCCATAATCCGAGCACTTTGGGAGGCCAAGGTAGGTGGATCACCTGAGGTCAGGAGTTCAAGACCAGCCTGGCCAACATAGTGAAACCCCATCTTAAAAAAAAAAAAGAAAGAAAGAAAATGTGGTACGTACACACCGTGAAATACTATGCAGCCATAAAAGAGAACGGGATCATATCCTTTGCAGGGACAGGGATGGAGCTGGAAGCCAATATCCTTAGCAAACGAACGCAGGAACAGAAAATCAAATACTACATGTCCTCACTTAGAAGTGGAAGCTAAATAATGAGAACACATGAACATACAAAAGGCAACAACACACACTGGGGAGTGGAGGGTAGAATGAGAGAGAGGATCAGGAAAAAATAACTAACGGGTAGTAGGCAATACCTGGGTAATGAAATAATCTGTACAACAAACCCCCATAACACAAGTGTATTATGCAACAAACCTGCACTTGTATCCCTGAATTTAAAATAAAAGCTCAAGCAAAAAAATAAATAAATAAATAAATAAAAATCCAAGATACTCCAATTAAGACACAAAGAAAGAGCCACAGAGAACAATGAACTGGGCAGCACCTCCTGGAAAGCAGACTGACTTCATCAAGGAGCATGAAGCTATGCCTAAGGTAGGGAATCTGCTTATAACATGAAGAGATTTCATTAACCAATGGGACCAGCCAGACTACTGTGTGGTTCCATTTTTCCTCTTTCTGAATGGGAATGTTTATTATGGTTGTCCTGTCCCTGTCATACCCTTATATATTGAGTTATGGGATGTAAACAGCTTCTACTATAGTTCTTTTTTTTTTTTGAGACGGAGTTTTGCTCTTGTTACCCAGGCTGGAGTGCAATGGCACGATCTTGGCTCACCGCAACCTCTGCCTCCTGGGTTCAGGCAATTCTCCTGCCTCAGCCTCCTGAGTAGCTGGGATTACAGGCACGCGCCACCATGCCCAGCTAATTTTTTATATTTTTAGTAGAGACGGGGTTTCACCATGTTGACCAGGATGGTCTCGATCTCTTGACCTCGTGATCCACCCGCCTCGGCCTCCCAAAGTGCTGGGATTACAGGCTTGAGCCACCACGCCCGGCCCTCTACTATAGTTCTTAAGTCTCTGGATCAAGAGGAGCTTTATTCAGACCAAACTTAGAAATTACTACACATGACTCCCTGTAGATAAAATTCTGTTACTGAAACCAATGAAATTTCTGTTATTGCTTTTTACTGTAGCATAACTTAGTCTATCTTGACTGATATAGCTAAACTACATATTTCAGTCTCCCTTGCAGTCAGCTTTGGACATATGAATGAGTTATTGTCTAAGGAGTGTGACAGAAGTGATATGAATGAACCAGTTCTAGACATGGTCTATAAAACCTCCCATGTAGAGGAGCCGGGAGTGGTGGCTCACACCTGTAATCCCAGTACTTCGGGAGGCTGAGGCAGGCGGATTACCTGAGGTCAGGAGTTCAAGACCAGAATGGCCAACATGGCAAAACCCCATCTCTACTAAAAACACAAAAATTAGCCGAACATGATGGCAGGAACCTGCAATCCCAGCTACTTGGGAGGCTGAGGCAGGAGAATCACTCGAACCTGGGAGGCAGAGGCTGCAGTGAGCCGAGATTGCGCCGTTGCACTCTAGCCTAGACAACAGAGTAAGGCTCCAACTCTAAAAAAAGAAAAATATCTCATGAGTGATCTTCCATTCTCTTTAATGAACTGACAAATTAATGCAGAGAATTCAAAGCACTACAAGAGGATAGAGCCACACCACAGAAATTTGCCTAAATAATACATATTGAAAGGCTTCTCCCAATCAAAAGCACCTGTTTTGAACTTCACCAAAGTCTATTGTGTTAAACCATGGAGATTTGGGATATTATGGACTGAGTGAATTCTCCCAAAACTCATATGTTGAAGACCTAACCCCCAAGGTGGTAGCAATTAAGATGAAGCATTTGAGAGGTAATTAGGGTAAGATGAAGTCATGAAGATGGGTCCCTCATGATGGGATGAATGCCCTTATAAGAAGGGACACCAGAGAGTTCTCTCTCTCTCTGTCATGTGATAACACATAGAGAAGGTCGCCATCTGCAAACCAGGAAAAGAGCCCTTACCAGAAACTGAACAATGTGGAGACCTTAATCTTGGATTCCAGTCTCCAGAACTGTGAGAAAAATAAATTTCTGTTGTTGAAGTCACCCAGTCTATGTATTTTGTTATGCCAACCAAAGCTGACTAACAGGAGGTTTCATCTGTTGTAACAATTAATGTTTCCCTAATAAATACATGTAGTATAAATTATTTTTTAAATAGCCTTTCAGTTGGACTTCCTAGTTCCTGTGTCTCTTCTGTGCAATTCACCATGTACAACTATGCCAGATGAATCTCTCAAAAGCAAATCTCCAATTGTGCCAATCATAAATATTCCTCTTCAGCTACCACATAAAATTCCAAAATCCAATATTATTATTAATTCCTTTCATGATCTGTCCTCAACACATACTTTCAGTCTTATCTCTTGCTATCAGATTACAAACCCTATGCTACAAACTGTATACCTTAAAAACCCTATATCCCTATTTACCATTATATACTTTTGTATTCCTGCTTCCCACACATATATAGAAAGCAGATGTGAGCCATAAAGCAATCACCAAGGTAATGAATTAACTGCACTTGAGTTTGCTTCCCTCTCTACTCCCTCACATATATATGCCCACTCACATATATACCTCCCAGCCACTTTTCCGCAAGCAACATAAATCACCAGAAGATAATGAAATCTTTGGTATGAAGGAAAAATTACATTTTCTCCCCTATGAGGCCTGGCATTTTAGCACAGTGGTTAAGTGTTTGTGCTCTGAAGTTACCCTGCCTGGTTTCAAATCCCAGTTCAGTAATTTGTGGTGAGTATGTAACCACAGGTAATTTACTTAACTCTAGCTTTCTCAACTGTTAAAGATGGATAAAAATAACCCAAAAGCAATGAACAAAGCAAGCTACAGTTAAGGCAAGGTGAGCCACTCACATCAGGTTGCAGATTTGTAAAGCTAGATTATTTTGCCAATGACTTTAGGACTCAAAATAATTGACATTTCTCTGTGGGTTCCCCCAACAAGCATTGCTAGAAGTAGACAGGATCTTGCCAAAGAAGAGGCATAATATAGTGGGGAAAGAATGAATCTGGGAAGC